ATTGCAGCCAGGTGCATCACAATCGTGGACTGGGCGCAGCCAAGTGCTGTCACAAAGTCACGGGTACTTTGCCTCGGATCGGCTTCCACTGTGTGCTGCAACTGCTCGTCGTCAATTTCAGATGGGCAGCCTGACCTGGGCTCATCCTCGAGGCTGTAATTTCCAGACCGGAAACAATCGAACGATCATTGTGCTGTCCTTTCGTATACTGCACCTTGATCAAATGCAGCGCAGATGCAGTGACTCAATTCAGCTGCTGTGATGCCAGATAGGAAGTCGTAAAGAAGGCACTGACATTGGGTGGCCTTGTTAAAGTTGATTTTGGAAGTCATGGTTATAGGCTTTGAACAACTAAGCAACTGCTGCGTAATCACGCCCACACACCCTTTATATACTGCTACTATGGAAGATTCGTGAAAGTTCCAGAAATTTTTTTCTGGAAAATTCTTGAAATGGCCAGAACTGTCTGATCGACCCAAAAGGTTGTCATAGGTCAGCTGATGAATTTATTTTGCCTCAAAAACCTCTAATGATCTTCTCAGGAACTGAGGCATTTGGACCCAAACTGAAGAAATTTTCAAATTTTCCTCACACAAATTTGCACTCTTCAAATTATCAAACCAAATGGCAATATTTGTCTTCTGCAGGATATTGATGTCACCCATGACACAGACAATCCCTTGCGATGCATGAAAAATCCTAGATGGAACTCAAGATGGAATTGCGAATTTCAGAAGGGATTGTGATTTTTACAGGCTTCAGTTGCACAATATGGGTACTTGAATTTGTTATGGTGTAACTTTGTTCTAGTTTCTTATGAAATGCTGAAATTTTCCACAATATATTGAAGAAAAAAAAATTTGAATTGGCTATTGTTTGAGTCAGATATAATTGAAATTGGAAGTAAACTCCCAGAGTAATAAGTTTTTACTTTTGGGGAGACAATTGTGGACCACCCTGTATATATTATTCACTTCATTTTCATACCTTGATGTAGAAACCAACTCTGCCTTAGAAGACCAAAGATAAGTGTGAGGCCAGACTTGAGACCCA